AACGCAAATAACGCTGCGTTACTCGTTACAAAAGCTATGAAAAATAAACGCATCTCGTTAGTAGTTACTGGTAACGAGTAACGCATGCGTTACTCGTTACCAGTAACGCAATAACGCATGCGTTACTGCGTTACCTGTAAAGAAACGGTAACGCTCCACCCCTAGTATAAAGAACGTAGAATTTAGTGAAGAAACATAGAATATTTATATTATTATTTTCTCACTGGTCTCTCTGTATATAGTCAGAGATGGACTTGTCTATGACTAGAATCGTAGTCCTGCTCAACAATACTCATGAGTATTTTGCCAAAAGTTATATGAGTACTCAACAATACCCAAGCATGAGTACTCAAAGTCGTACTCACAGTACTCGTTACTCACTCATGGGTACTCATGTGAGTACTCAATGAGTAAAAAAATGCATAAGTACTCATGAGTACTCGGGACATTTTTCAGCAGAGTACGACTTTGAGTACTCACACTTGAGTACATTCACTAGGGTTATCTTTATTACTTATAAGGATTTAAAATTCAGACTTACCTCGACGTTCAGCTGGAAAACGAAATAATTTTATTAAACCATTCTCATCGCCTCCCGCAATAACTCCTAAATGTATATCCGCATCAATCGTAACAATATCTGTTTTTTCAGCAAATTTATTCCAAATTCCTTTTACATCATCTTGTTTCAAACTATTATAAGTATGCCAGTTTTTTATATTAGCAACATTTCGTTCGGTAACCTGTTCTTGCGCTGAAAAAGGACAATAAATCTTTTTAATCTTCAGAGAATAAATACTTTGATATACTTACACGATATTTCGAAAACATAACGCTCTTTAATTTCACCCGCTGCTTGTATGTACTTTTCATCCTCGGTCCAATCGATATTATAAATTGCCGTACCATGATCTGAAGAATTAAAATGATTTGCTTTGGTCAACGAAAATTGATTATATTAACTTATGCATAGACTGTTTACTGTATAACTAAAAACTGCCTGTTAACAATCACAAATTTTTATTTTTTATTTCACCATGAATTATGGTCTAAAAACAGACATTTAACTATATGTACTTGAAACTAAGATTCATATCAATTATTAACAGCCTGTGTAGTATGATATTTTGGAACAGTTAATATATCAAGAAAAAACTAGCATTTAACGTTGGCAGTTGAATGGGAATCGAGCGGTCCACCAAACTGCGAAATCTAGTGTATTTTCATCAATACAACCCCTCGTTTTTTCCCAATAATTCAGTTGCATTGTTTCTCAATGCTTACAATTTTTTTTAAATGACAAAAAGACGTGACTTGCATTGAGAGACTTTCGCTAATACCAGCAGTGTACTTTTACCGATATCTCCCATGGCCGCTCGTCAATGGACGAAAGTCACATTGGCGAACTTCCACGATTCCAGTTAAATATCAATTTTTAACCATATATCGAATTATTTATCCTTTTGTTACACTAGTATGACTGATATAAATATAATATGAATTCTTTTGATAAAATTTAGAATTTTTCTCTTCTTCGATTATATTACTCAACAAAACTTGTCCCAAAAGAGTAGACTCCATTTCAAATTTCTATAATAGCACAATAGCGGCTCAAAATGGATATCTTGAAATGTCGTAATAAAACTGTCACTTTTAGACATTAAAATGTTCCCAGTTTAAATGTCTAAAAACGGTCAAAAAATTGTCTCCATGATTTAATAATGTTCATTTAACAAACATTAAATGAATATTTAATATATAATTAATTATATCGTTTTCAATGACCTAACTATAACTAAAGATTCATGAAAACAATTTCAAATAGTGTCTTACTGTCATATTTGAATTGTAAACTCTTATATTTATCTTTAACTACATAAATATCAATGTTTCCGTCGGAGCAACTAACAGCCAGATACTGATCATTTGGTGAAAATTTGACTGTTTGAATACGTTCGGTTCGATCTTGAATAATATGTATAGGTTTCACGTGTGGATCTTGTTGAGATGTAACTCTAAATTAAAAGTCAAAGTAAAGAAGTAAACTTTTGAAATATAATTGACAATACGAACGATGTCGGATATATTTCAACTAAACCATTGTCAAATCCCACGGCAATATTGTTACCATTAGATGAATATCCACAAGAACGTATTGAAGGTGTTGCAGATGACTGTGAAAATGGAACAAAATAAAATGATATGATATGCATTTGATCAGCATTCCAAAATCTGAAAAAATAAGATGATGAAAAACAAGAAAAGATTATTAAAATTTATATTCAAGAAATATATATTTACCGTAATGCACCATCATCACCACCAGTAGCAAACACATTTTCTCTTGGATGACAAGCCAATGCCCATAAACCGTCATCACTATGTCCCGCAACTACTAATTTTGGTGCTGTATTTGATTGAATATTAAAAGAGTAAATTTCGGATTGACGAGTACCGGCAATAACAAAACTGTCATTACAGGCAATACTACACACGGTCGCCTCTAAAATTAGAAGAAAAACAACGTATTGAAACAATTCTAGATGTCAAAAAATGAACCAAAACTCATTTTCTTATGAATATTATAAAAAATCTATAAAATAAGAAAACTATTGCTCTTTCACACTTTGTTTGCCTATGAAACATTCATTATTAACCTTCTGAATCTTGAACGAAACATGGAATTTTCACTGATGGTCCAACGGGTGTAAAATCATCATTCCATATTTTAACGAGGCCATCTTTACCACTAGACAAGAATCCATTTGCAGTCATGGCAATAGAATAAATAGATGACTAAACAAAGAAAGAAAATAAAAATAGTTAAGTCAAAAGTTTTTTTCTCTCTTTTACACTGTGAGCAGCCGCTATAAATCGGTCAACTTTTCCATCTTTCCAAATATAAATATCTCCATTAATAGCACCAGTAAAACAAGTTTTAGGTACAGAAAAATGTCCGATACAGAGTAACGTTTGTACATCAAATTTTCCAAATGAACCATCTTTATATTGCAAAGTATTTCCTAACAATGTCCAAAATCGAATATGTTTCACACCGCATGTAATCAATTGATCTTGAGTCTGCATAATATCAAGCACCTAAAGCAAAAAAGATACAATTATAAATAGACTTATATCAAAATTTATTTTGTCATATATAGAAAACTTACTCGCTCTTGATGACCAATAACTGTTGCAAGCATTTTTCCCTTTCTCCAATTCCATATTTTAATTACATTATCGGAATCGATCCCAACACTGGCTATTTTCTACATAAAACATAAGAAAAACACTTTTTACAGCACATGATAAATATAACGTTGGATTGCGGATATTTTATTAGAATAGTGATCACTGTTTTGTGAACACATACACTGGAAAAGAATTTTAAAAATATTTTTGGATAAATATTTAAACATTTACCTCTCCATCTGGATGAAAGTTCAGGGCACCGACACCATCCTTGTGCCCTTGTAAGAGAGATTCTAGTTTCATTGCACTTGTATTCCATACACATATTTGAGCATTCTTTCCTATTTGACCAGTGGCAATAATCACACGCTCGTGATGTAGAGCAGAACTAAAAACAATAAAGAAGTGACAGATTACCTTTTATCTATTAGAATAAATAAATGTAGATGACTGGTCAATAAATTTTTTATTATTACCTAATTATATCGTTGTCATGTCCCAAAAAGAATTTTTGCTTATGCTCATTAATATTTTCAACGATTCCCACGCCAGCTGAGAAATAAACAATTTCACCTGAGGCTGTTACATGAATGTTGCTTCGACAACCTGCAGCACGATACCCATAAATCCATTCTATACGTAATACTGATTTTGGGGCTGTACGATCACCAGCACTTTGTTCCATTCACAAGCAATCTAAAAAGGCAGAAGCAGAATTTATTCGAAAATAAAAAATGGACGTAGTTCACATTTTTATTTAACGAATACAGAAAATCTATGAATATTTAATGCATAACTATGATCTATTAATGGAAACATTTTCCTCATGGAAACAACTTTTAGAAAAAAATCTTCATTCTCCGATCTCCAAGAGGTAGTTCGTTGTTTCTACTGATAAAATCTAATGTACTCGTATAAAGTAAATGTTAGCTGCTCTGAAAAATGAATATATACTTCGCGAAAACAATAATGTGTTTACTATGAATAAAGAAGTGTATTTTTAAAAAAGCATCTAAGATCAGATCTTAGGTGTTAAATTCTTGAAAGTTTTTCAATGAAAACCGTCTTAACTAATGTGCAGTTTGCTCAGAACTCGTACAGTTTATAAGCTTTGTGAAAAAACAGTGTCATGTAGATGTTGCTGAGGAAATCTCATTCGAAACAATACATTACACTGATAACCAGCAAGATGGTGGAAATAGATTTTATTGATTCTGCAACACATGTATATGTAAGTAGACACTGATGAGTATGAAAAAGAGAAGAACAAAAAGTGAGAATCAAATTTTTAACGCGGAATGTGCAATTTGCTCTCGCTTGTCAATCATTAAACCACTAATAAACGAAATGTCCGTTTTAAGCGCACAAAACAGAACTCAGTTATGGAAATGACATAAAAAGAGACGGTTTTATCACAATAGCTTAATAATCCCTCTTAACAGCTGTTATGTTAGCGAAGGAAGGTAAGATGGCAAAAAAGATTGTCAAGAAGATCAACTATTAAGATGCTATATCATTAAAGATAAGCAAACTGTTTGTCTCCAAGGCGATTCACCACGCTAATAATAAAAACGTTATCATCCATGTCACTTGTTTTATAGTAGCTTAACTGTGTAAAAGTAAAACAAAAACTGTTTTTCAGATTAAAAAAATAAACAGTATTTTTAGAGTCGAAAATGGTGTGCATGTTCTATAGTGACATCTGTCCTTATATCGACATATCTTTTAAAACAGGAAATATCGAATGAGTAAGGTCTAATTTCGTATAAATATTCTATGTACTCGTCAAAAAACTTGCATCAAAGCTATTCTTGAATTTTATTGAGAAAAATATTTTGTTGAAAACGTTTTGGAGCACATGTGCCGTTGGTCTTGTTTAAATCTAAAGCTTTCATTCAACGAATTTGTATACTTAAAAATCAAAAAAGTGGAAGGAAACAAAGGAATGAAAACTATATTGGAGAAAGTATTCTCCTTCTGCATATCTTTCTAAAAGCAGTAGTAGTAGTATAGTAGTATTTTATTCATGAATAGTGACAGTCACCAAAGGTCCTCGACCTTTAATTGTAATAACTCGAGCCAAACAATAGTAGAAGAAACGATAAATAGAAAGATAAAATTAAAGAAAATACGTAAACTAGTGCACAAAATAGAGAATTAATAAAAAATAAAATAAAAGAAAGAGGAACAGCACTGGATTTGTTTTTAATTGTAAATATGGCTACGTTCAACTATAAAGATGCTAAGATAGAGCTATTTTAAATGACAGTAAAGAAAAAGACTCGAATAGTTGACCCTCACCCTTATCTTCTGGTGAAATATTCGAGTCTCTATATCTCAAGAGAGGAAAATTCATTAGGATCGAATATTTTTCCGTCGTACTACTATGACGATGGGCTACAAGTGTGGCAGGTTTGAAATCAAAATTCGAAAGTCGCATTTTGTTCGAAATCCAAGCTCTGTAGGCAAACACTGACTAAAAATTCAGTATCTCAGCAACAAAGCACCATGGGGATGAACCAAGCTGGGATATTTCTCTACTCGTTAGGCCCTTTCTAACAACCCGAAATCGATGTATAACCTCGGGTGGTTCCCTCGTTAAGTGTACAGAAACGTGGAAACACTTTGAGACCCTCTGAGAAGCTAGTGAAGTCCATGAGAGTACAACAAAATCCGAAAAAAATCTAAGAAAGCTCGATAGAATAAAAGAAACATCTGTAAAAATCCTTGAAATTGGAGCTTATCGACAAAAAGTCAGAAAAATTCAAAAAGACTCAGAAAAATGTCAAATGTTTCGCGAGGTTGCGTGGAGCACCATGAAGTCGAAAATCCAACAAAACTTGGAAATTGTCGATATCATATGTATTGACCTCAAAATTAAACTAATGCGAAAATCCGCTTTTCCCTCCTTGATGAAGAGACTAACTAGCAAAATATTCATATTTTTTTGAAAAACCAGTCCATCTTGTTTGCAGTTTTTCCCTATTAGGCGAAAGTTTTCTCCAGAAACTTTTGCGCCTAATTTGGTTAGAATCGCTAGGGCTACAAAACGTGCTTACTTTGATTTGATTCCGAGGCTATTAAGTGCACTAAAATTTTGATTTACTAGCAAAAACTAGGTTTTTAAAACTTCAAAAACTTTAAATTTAAAATTTTTCTTTTTTTGTTTGAGTTTTTAACTTCAAAATTATAAATGATATGTGATTCTATTTAGTTCTTCGCGCTCTTTCGAATGAGATGTTGTCCAAAGAATTTGAACAAAAATTCGCGGAACTATAGGTAAAATACTGAAAAATGGGTGTTTTTGCGAAAAACCGAAGAGGCTTTAGGGAAAATCACATCCGAAAGAACATCCAAGACGTTCTAGAGCCTAAATAGAAAATGGTATACCTACTTTTGTATGCTGAATCGAATGGAAGTGATTTCAAAGAAAAATAAATTTCATCTCTTGACAGTCTCTTGAGCTAATACTTCATTGAGTCAAGAAGACTCTCTTAACATTTCTTACAGGCTGATCTTGTAAAATCTTACGACAAGAACTGTTAGGTTCCCGGGTGAACTAAGATCTTTCTCACCTAACGTTTATTTACAAATGAAAAAGATTATCCTTAACAGTAAAATTAATCTATTTATATACGAAATATTGCGCGATAGCTTTGAGTAGACTGTGTAATAACCTTGACTAGGCTCTGCGCAATAACCTTGAATATATTCTTGCACCATAGCATTGAGTAGTCTTGCACC